CTGCCAATCTTTTCGAACATAACTAAACTAAAGAAAAACTAATAAATGCGAGATTTTGGACCTGCGAGATTTTGGACCTGCGAGATTTTGGGCTGCGAGATTTTGGACCTGCGAGATTTTGGGTCGCGAGATTTTTCTGCGAGATTTTGGCTCGCGAGATTTTGGCCGCGAGATTTTGACCNCGAGATTTAGTCCGTCGCCCTCCCCAATATATATAAAGTATACAAAACTAACAATTTCAGTGCAAAATAATTGCTCATGCAATTGTTGCAATTTTATATCAATAGCATTTTTTTGTTTAAAAACCACTTACATTTCACATTTTTTTTGCAAGGCATCATCGGGCATCATGGACATCATCGAGCACCAGTTTCTGCCCTTAAGAAGAAGCCCGCTGCACTGTTTCACCGTCTACTTCCGGCGACTGCGGCAAATTGTCTACCAAAAAGACGCCCCCACCATCAGGCACATTCAGGCGTTGTGCGTTCCCGTGGCCATTGAGGTGGTGCACTACCTTATTCTGTACAGCTGCTCTAGTGAAAATGGCCACCACCACCTCCTCTCGCCCGCCGCCCAGTGGCTCCACTTTGCCGGCTTCCACCTGGTGGACCTGCCGCTGGAGCTGTACGCCCTGGCCGTCTCCCAGGGCCTGCTGGTGCTCTACCTCCTGCACACGCTCTACTTCGCCCCCGCCAGCGAGGTCCTCCTGCTCGTCTACCGGGTGGCCATCAGGCAGCAGTCCAGGTGGTTCCTTGAGCGGACACACCGCCGTCTTCCGGTGGAGCAGTACGCCCGCCGGCTGCTCCTGCAGGTCAGCGGCGCCATGCAGCTCTTCAGCCTCTTTATGGGTAACAAGCGGGAACAATCTTTCAAATTTTTTCCAATGTTTTAATTGCATTTTTTCCCCTTAAATCAGATCTATTTATCCTTATCACCCAGCTCAACGCACTGCGCTTCTGGGCGGCGGCATTTCCTCTTCCTCTTCCTCTTCCTCTTCCGGTCGATCTTCAGCGAACCGGAAGTTGGAGCGGCGCCACTGGCGCCGTCGCCGTTCTCCTCCTCTACTGGCTGGCCCAGTTCCTCCTCGCCGAACTGAACCTCCTCCTCGTCTACTGCTCGCTGCTCACCTTCCTCCACTGCAACGTCCACCTGGGAGCGCTGGCGGTGACGCTGACGGAGCTGCTCAGCATCAAGGGCCGCCAGGTGGGGGCGCTGCTGCGCCGGCAACCGGCGCCGCCGCGGCGGCGGCTCTTCCGCCGGCTCCACTTCTTCCCCTACGAGCGCTTCCTCCGCGAAACGGCCGCCTTCCTGGCGGAGGTGGGCCGGGTGAACCGCCTCTTCGCGGACGCCTTCCTCGCCTACCTCCTGGTGAACAGTCCGCTGAACGCCGGTCTGACGGTGCTGCTGCTCTTCCGTCTCACCGACCACCAGGATCAAAAAGTGGTCAGAAGAAGAAGTCCCCTGGTGGCCTTCTTCCTCGGCGTCATGATCGCCCAGAGTTGGATCGCCATCTTCGCCATTCACCTGCTGGCGGTGCGGCTCAATGGGCGAGTTCACGCGCCCAGCCGGCGCGTGCTGGCGCTGATGGCCTCGGACCGCCTTCTGGGCGGAGCGATAGTGAAGGGCAACGCCCACAACGGCGGCGGCGGCAGCGGCGGCGGCGGCTGCCAACTGAAGCTGAAGTTGCGCCTGAGCAGCTACCTGGTGCTCTTTCACGTGAAGTCGGGGCGGCGTTTCGGGCTGACGTACAGCCGAATCACCACCCTTCGCATCTCCATGATGACCTTTGCTGAGGCGTGTTAAAGATAGGAACTGTTTTGGTAGTACTGTTTTGATTAATTAATTATATGTGTTCTTTTTTCCTTTTATTCAGTTTGTCCTGCTGTACTTCCAGGCGCTGATGTACAGCTACAAGTGGTTTCAGGAGCGGGTTTTCTTTTAGTGCTCTCCCCCTGTGCACATATTAATCTGTTTGTTTGTTTTTTGTTTGTTTTGTTTTACCAATTTACTAGTTTTTCAGCACCAGAACATAGGAGTACATCAGCAGCTCAAAGTAGAGTAGAAGCGACTAAAAAAAGTAGACAAAAAAGTAGTAGTAGTAAATAAAACCATTAATAAACTGCAAAAAAGTAAAAACCGGTTTTTTGTTCATTACACGAAAGTAGGTGCCCATCGTCACCAGGGCAAGGCCTATAGAAGTGGCGGTGTGTGAGCATTTTCAGCAAAAAGAAGTAATTAATTAATACAAAGATTTAGCGTAAAAACTTCAAAGATAAAAAAAACTTTATCTTTAATTACCGCCATAGTGAACGCCGTACTTCCTCCTCACCACCAGCCGGCTGATGGTCCGCCAGATGAGCAGTCTAGTTCGAAGGGGAATGGCCCCTACAGCGCCACCTGCACCTGAACCGTGGTGGGCCCGCGAAGTCCGCCCACAGAAGCGCAGCAGCATCCGCCCACCCTGGTGCAGGTGCTCGCTGAGGTGTGCCGCCCACAGGTGGAGGAAGAGGCAGCCGACGTAGGCCTCCAAGATTAGTCCCAGCATGATGGAGGTGACCAGCGGGTCAGCAGTGCCCACCTCCTTGCCCCGCATCAGCAGCAGCATGGCAAGGTACGCCGAGGTGGGCATGTTCAGGCTGAGGTAAAGCAGAAAGTGCCGGCCAATGTACTCGTCGTAGAGGAAGACCAGGCGGAAGGTGCGCACATTCTCCTGCAGATAATCCTCTAGCGATAAAACGGCGAGGAGCTTTTTAGAAGACCTTTTTCTGCCCCTTTTATAAAGGAGAAGTCTTCTAAGCTCTTGTTGAAGTTTGCGGTAGTTCTTCGAGAAGAGCAGGTAGATGTAGATAATGCCGAGGGTGCTCTGCACCCCCAGGAAGATCAGCGCATGCGCAAAGGAGTACCAGACGGTGAGGAGGAGGGCGAGGTGCGCCAGTTGGAGCGGAAGTAGGAGGAAGAGGGTCTTCAAAGAGCAGGAGAAGTGGCTAAAGAGCTCGCTGATGGTGAGGGGAATCACCACGGCGAAGCAGCCGTCCAGCAGAACGATGAACAGCTGCAGCGTGCCCAGAAAGGCGGTTTCCGCGCGGCGAACCCACTGAGCTGCAAAGACTGCAGCGTCTACGCTGGTGAACGCCCTCCTCATTGCCCGGTAAAAGTCCACCTTCATGTGGCAGTAGAACGCCCAGTAGAGGAAGAAGGTGTAGGCGGCGAGGCCAACGTAGACCAGGTAAAACTGACTGCATCTACTAAAGATAATGAGCACACTGTCTGCGAGGAGCACTCGGGTGGCGAAGCTGAGAGCTCTAAGCTGTACACAGCTGTACAGCAGACCGTTGAGCAGTGCAAAGTAGGTCAGAAGAAGAAGGTGAAGGTGCAGTAGGAAGCGTGATTTAGCGTCTTTCTGTATGGAAACACTTTCACGGTAGGCGAAGCAGGACTCGTAGAAGCGGATGCTTTTGTAGGGAATTGCCACCTGGAGAAACATGCCGACTGACTGGTGGACGGTAAAGTGAACCAGATCGGCAACGTGCTGAAAGACGGCCAAAATGGCTGATGCTTGTGATCTGCTTGATCTGCCATTGTTGTTGTTGTTGTTGTTGTTGTTGTTTAGCTTTTGGTCAGGTGATGAGGCCATTTGCGGTGATTTCAAGTTGTTTTAAGGTAAAAAATGAAAGTTTTATTTAAACAAAGTTTATTACAAAATCAGTACGTAAAGTTAGTTTATTTAAATTTTTTTGGCCCAAAATTTTCTGTTTGTTAACTTAATTACTATTTATGAAAAAATGCGGTAAATTATAGTTTAGACTACAGTGCAAATTACAGGTACTTGTTTGAATGCAGTTTGAAATTGCATACTCAGCGTTTTTCATTTTTAAAATGTCAAGTTTTTTATTAATATACAAAGCGTCTAAAAACTTTATTCAAAGGTATTTTATACGGAATTTAAAAAACTATTGATTTACGTAAATGCACTTTTTTAAATTTTAAAAATGATATACAATGTAGTTGTAGTAAATTCAAAAAAACTTTTAAAAATTTGATCATATTAACAAGCAAACATCTTTTTTTTAATTTTTAAAAATTGCTACAAAAACACCCAGTTTATCTTTTTCCTGGTATGACGCTTAAAAACAAAATAAAAAATAAAAAACATGACGCCAAAGGACATCCGAAGATGCCGGCGATAATCTGGCTACCAACACACAACTCTTTAGTGCGCCTACTGGTAAACAACAACAACGAAATAATTTCACCAATTCAAGCGCGAAAAATGAAACCCAGCACAATGAAAGCTGAAAGTCAACTGTTTTTTCGTATCACAAAAAAATTAAAATCGTTTTCACTTAATAAAGCACACACTCGGTTGTTTTTGGCACACGCTTTTTGAGTAAAAACAGCCAAATATGTTTTTACCAGCTGCCACTCAGTATCAGCCAGATGATCAGTACATACACCTGCAAACGATGCAGTCACCACCACCTTCAGCTCCTCCTTATCACTTCTCGTCGCACGGTGAAACAACAGCAACAGCAGTAAGGTACAACAACGGCAGTGGCAGAGCAACAACAACTGCTGAGTCCTTTTTTGGCGGCTCAGACGATTTGAAGACTTGTGCACCTCCACTACCACTACCACCAAACACTACCTCACCCGACTACCTGCAACTGCAGGACGCTACCATGAAGGCGAATCGAGGAGGCGTTTTCGATGACCACAACTACTACGATGCAGTTCTCTATGAGTCTGTGGGCGGTGGAGGCAGGGGCTCTCGCGGAATGACCTCCAAAGCAGGCCGCTTCCGGCTGCTGATCATCGGCGTCGCCGCCTGCCTCCTCCTGCTGGTCATCATCCTCTCCGGTGTTCTCCTTTGGAAGTTCATCATCAGCCCCTCGAAACAGCCGATCAGCAGTAGTCTAGTGGTAGAACAGAAGTTCTGCACTGACCTCACCGACAAACCCGCAGAGCTGCTGCTCGCCTGCCGCCGCTCCTTCGTTCGGAACATGACACTGAGCGCCTTCTCCGCCTACCGAAACTACGTCTGGGGCGCGCCGGAGTTTGAGCCGGTCAACCTGGAGCCCTTCACCAACACCAACGCCGGCACCTACCCCGGGCTGACCATCGTCGACGCCATGTCCACCCTCTGGGTGATGGACCTGAAGGAGGAGTGGGCGGCGGGGCGGGAGTGGATTGCCACGAAGTTGCACTTTGCCGATCTGGATCAGGTGGTCCGCGTGCGGGAGGCCTTCATGGACTACCTCGGTGGGCTGCTCTCCGCCTACGCCCTCAGCGGAGAGCCGGTCTTTCTGGAGAAGGCAAAGGAGGTTTATAAAGCCCTAGGTCCCGCTTTCTACGAGTCTACGGGCATGCTCGCCTACAAGTTCAATCCCAAGGTAAAAAGTAGCCTTACAGTTATGGGAAAAAGTTCAGAAGCCACTGCAGTCAAAATAAAAAAAGTCAAACTGAGCCTGAAGGCCGCCGTCCGGTTCATCAACGGCTCGCACACCGTAGTGCTGAGCAATGGAACTTCCGGACCGCTGCAGAGAATCGCCGAACTTCCCGTTCTCAAATCTTCTTTCGCTTTAGCAGAACTGAACAACAACACCACCGCCTACGACCACGAGCGACAGAGCGGCAACTTCATCGCCAACATCGGCTTCCAGCAGCCAGAGTTCATCTACATTGCCAACCTTACTGGAGATCGGGTGATGGTGGGGCGGCTGGCCAAGAGCCGTGAGCTGATGGAGTCCATTCAGCGGCCGAAAGGCCTGTATATGACCCGGGTCGATGCCTCCACGGGGGCGGCCATCTCCACCTGGGGCTCGCTCTTTGACGTGGCCACCGATTTCTACTACAACGCCATTCGCTCCTATTTGCAGCTGGGCAGCTGGGACGAGGAGCTGCTGGAGTTGTACGGTAGTGCTATAGATGCGGCCATTCGAGCTGATCTTTTCAAGGTCATCGGAGGAAGACTCTACTTGAGGGCCTTCAACACTAAAACACAGCTGCACGCCTATGGAATGGAGGACACCGGCTGTCTGCTCGGAGGAATGTTGGCCCTCAGTTCAGCCGCTTATCAGCGGGCAGAGAATAAGGAACGGTGGCGGTTGCACCTTGATTTGGCCGTCAATATCACCGAAACGTGTCACCACGAGGCAAACAGTACGGCCACCCGACTGCTGCCCAATAAGTTCATTCTCGGCAAAGTGCTCAACAATGAGACGTGGATCGCGTGAGTGTTTGCTATTTTTTTGTGATCAACAGGTGGTTTTAATTTTATTTTTTAATCTTTTTAGACCTGACCTCGCCGAGACCTACTTTTTTCTTTACCGACTGACCGGTGATGGGCGGTACCGCGAGTGGGCGTGGGAGTTGGCGCAGGCCTTTTATCGACACTGTCGCACGACCAGCGGCGGTTTCAGCGACTTGAAAACGGTCAACTTGGTGCCCACGGTGAAGAGTGACTACCAGCGGGCAAACTTTTTCTCCGCTACTCTGAAGTACCTTTATTTAATTTTTACCGATGACACCTCCTCGGCGCCGGTTTTGCCGCTTGACAAGTGGGTCTTCAATACAAGGGGTCACCCGTTGCCAGTCTGTGGGACCAGTGTCTACTACTCAAAAGACAAATGTGAACGTTGAGAAACTTTTTTAGGTGATTAGTTGGTCGCTTGTTTTGATAACAAAAAAATGAAAACAAAAAAACAATTTTAATTGGGTTTTGAGAAAAACCCAGTTAAACCTAATGTCAAGTTTTTTTGTTAATGTAAAAAAACTGTAAATGCAGTTGAAAACATTTAAAAACACAAGTTCATTAAAATTTTTTAATAGTTATGGCAGTTGAACAAAAATTTACAAAATTTTTAATGTAATTTTAATTATAATTGCAATCAGTTTGTTCGTATGTTTTAACGATTGACAAAAATTTAAATTAACTTTTATTCTTTTTTTGTTGTACAAATTAGCAATAAAAAGATAATTTTCGCAACTCACGTAATGTTTTAGAAAATTTTAAATAACATTTCACAATAAAAACTGAGCTATATTTTGTCAAAAAAATTGCAGAAAATTCCTCATTATAAAAAAATATAATTTTTTAACAAAACAAAAAATGTTCTCCATTTTCAGTTTTAGCATAAGTCATGAAATCGGGTTTTTAGCTAGAAACACTGAAGCCAAAGCAGTGGGCAAAAATTACAAAACCGTTTACTTTCTCCTCTACCTTGTCTACCTCTTCTTCACACTGCAGATGCTTATTTACGTTTGCCTGGGCCTTCTTCGCCGGCCTCTGGCTCGGTCAGACGGGCTTCTCGCAAAGTATGGTACTGGCGATGACGGTGGCCAATGAGCACATCACCCTGTCGCGGAAAAGCTTTCTATCAGTGGTCATTCGGCTGCCGAAGAGGTTGAGCTTTCGGTTGAGGCTAAAGTTGGCCGGGTACGCCGAGTTGCTGAGCAACAGTTCAGGAAAGGGTTGCGCCATCTCAGTGGGCGCCCTGGGCACGCTGAACAGACGGACAATGGCGGAGGTAAATTGAGATTTCTACAAGAGGTAGTTTTGTTTTATTCCCTTTTTATTTTTCCTGCAGTTTATTCTCCTCTACGCCGCCTACACGATAACGCTGCGTCAGGTGTTCACGCGCCACAGCCAATGATAAGGAGGCTGAGACACGGTTGTCAGTGAAAATCAGGGTTTTTTTAAAGCAAACTCGACTGAGCCCTTGTGTTAGTTCATTTATAAAAGTGTTTGTATTTTTTGTAGAAAATTAAAAAATAAATTTTTAAAAATTTTAAAAAATGTGCGTTAAATTAAGTACTGTTTGTGCTTCCAAAACAAAAAACCTTTTTAAAACAACAAATTTTTACTGTAACTTTTATTAATCAAACAGTTATTAATGTTAAACTTTTTAAAAACAAAAAAAAATAATTTGTTTAATTTAAATCAGTTACTGCAAAAATAGCAGAAAAAACCCAAGTGTCGTCAAATTCTACAGCAGCTTTCAAACAGTGTGTTTTTGCTCATGCAGTGTTCACGAAGTAAAAACACATTTATAGATTCCTAATTAGTGGTGACAATCATTGAGGCCATTAGTTGTGACCCCACTGACAAAATTTCACAATTATTTAACTTTTTTTGTTTTGAACACTACAAACAGAACAGCAAATTGGACAAAAAACAAAGAAAGTTTCCAAAGGCCATTGCCAATCTGTATGGAGAAACTCCCTATTTTTGGAGGCTTTTAACTCTGGTGTTCCCTAACTTTATGAGCCATGTGTAGTATTAAAAGAACCGGTAGACTTTCTAGTTTTAGAATAAAGCCACTTTGTTGGGGAAAACTTAATGGTTTTCAAATGAGACCCTAAAACGTGACCCATTGTAAAAACAAAGTTTGAGCAACTTGAAGACTCATAACTCTGGTGTTCCCTAATTTCATGAGTCATGTTTATTATCAAATGAACAGGTAAACTTTCTAGTTTTAAAATATGTCTATTCTGTTGGAGCAAACTAATTGATTCAAAAACTAGAGCTTAAAAAGTCCAAAAACGAATTTTTTACTTTGACAACTCGTAACTCTGGTGCTCCCTAACTTCATGGTTCATGTTTAGCATCAAAAGAACCAGTAGACTTTCTAGTTTCAGAATATGTCTACTTCGATGGGGGAAACTCAGTGGTTTGAAAACTAGAACCCAAAAAGTCCAGTGATCTCGAGTCGCGTGTGGCTATTTCGACCAAACCAGCCCCTGTGCTTGCTTTGATTTGACCGCCCGCGACCCAAAATCACTGGACTTTTTGGACTCTAGTTTTCAAACCACTGAGTTTTCCCCCTCAAAACAAACTCGCAAGGTTCAACCAAAACTTACAAAAATTTTTAAAGTTGACTTTTATCTTAGAACAGTTAAACCTTTTTGAAATCTGATTGCATATTCTTGTAAAGCTTAGTCTTTAAGCTTTACAATGGTATACAACATGTAAGAGTTTTCAAAAAAATTTTTCTCGCACTGGCTGCAATGTCGCATTGTTACGCTTTAAGTTGGATGCCTAATATTTATTTTTTTTGTAAAAAGTTATGTCGCATGTCTGCTCCCTTATCACTTTCTTACTCACTTCTTCTTCTTCACGTTACACTCACACTCGCGGCATGCACACACACTCTTTTGTCAACTCTGACTTTTGTCACCCTCTGTTCACACCCCAGTCATGCCCGTGAGTATTGTCTCTCCCCGTTTCTCTTTCCTTCTCGTTTTTTCACCTCCGGTATATAAGCCCACACTTTCTCCCCATTAAACAGCTGACTAGCTCACTAGCAGACAGTCACTCTGTCTACCAGCAGTGTTTGGCCCTCGCAGTGCGGCCGTAGTTCTTCAGCAGCAGCAGTGTTTGGCCCTCGCAGTGCGGCCGTAGTTCCCAGCAGCAGATCATCATCGTCATCGTCTTGTCTACCAGCAGAAGCAGTACCAGCACCTTCCCCAGCATACCAAGCAGTCCGAAGCCGAAGCCAACCGACTTTCCGCTGAACAAACGCAACTCTGCCCCAACCCGATTTGTGCTGGCGCGGCGCAGGACCGCCACATTATGAAATGCCTTTATTTTTTAAATCGATTTTCATTAAAATTTTTCTAAACTGTTGGCTTTTTACTCACATTCGAATGACATTTTATCACTAAATTTAAAACAAATGTAATATTTTTAATTTAAGTTAAAGTTATGAAGTTAAAGTTATTACACTCATTATAAAAACAAAACAACTAATTTTCAGTTAATTAAACTCCGGCAATTAACGCCAAACTTATAAATTTAAAAAAAATTGCGAATGATTTTTATATAAAACAGTGTAATTAAAACAAATTTTAATGGCTTTATGTTAGTTTAATGCAAACAAACAAATTCTTAAATACCATAAAATCATGCATAAACCTTTGGCTGACTTTGCTTTTGAAAACTCGCGTCTATTTCGAGCCATGGTCAGCCTCCCTTATGAGTACCTTCTGTCAGTTCTTCAGGAGAACATTGCTAATAAGTGGAAGTTTAGAGAACGGAGTCAGCAGCAGCAACAGCGGCAGCAACAGAAGTGGCTGCTAACTCCTGGTCGAACACTGCTTCTACTCTATCAAATGTTTTTCTTTTGTCGCCTTCTCTTTTTGTCTTTTTGTCAGCTGGAAATCCACCACAGCCTGCCGTTTTTGGAGATCATCAAACGGGTTGATCCGCTGCTACACACGGTCACCTCTGAGCTCAACTTTAATGCCATGTTTGGCTTTTGTCTGGCACCGATGTTTCTTTATTTACTTGTCCTAGAAGTTCTCCTGCGCGTCAAACCGGAGCTCTACTTTTGGAAACTTTTTTATGAGCTGGTGATTGAGAATGAGCGGCACTTTTGGCTGCTGAACCCTGAAGTCCACTACCTTTCTGTTAGCTTAAATCCGTTGAATCCAGTTGAAAGTTTCTCAGAGATGAAAGCGTACGCTGGCAAACTTTGGCGTTACCAGAAGCCGGTTTTCGCCACTCGCCTTCTGCACTTTCGCTTCGTTCAACCTCTCGTTCGCTACAAAGTTCTTCTCATTTCAGTAGTTTACCGCCAAATTCTCAAAGTGGTCTTTTGTGTTCAGTCCACTTTCCTCCTTTACTCCTGGCTGGTCCTGGTCTACCTGCTAAGCAGGTACTACCACCTACTTTCCTGGCACTTTCTCCTAGGAACGGTGGACAGTGGCTTAGTTCTCTACCTGTTCAAGAGAAGCTTCACTCAGGTAAACTTTCTCTTCTTCTGTCTGGTCCTGCTGCTGAGCACCTGTTCGGCGCACCTCTGGTGGCTGAACCAAAAACTGGTAAAGATGATGATGAGAGTGAACTGGTCATCAAACTCAACCAAATTGAATGTCAATGGTCAAAAAAGGCGGCAGCCACCACCAGCTGTTTCGATGGCCGAAGTGCTCTCTTTCGCCAGCCTCTACCGCTCCGAGCAGCTGACCACCGCGGTGAACGTCCACCGCCTGAATGAGGCCTTCATCTCCACGCTCACCCTCTTCGGCGTCGGCTCCAACGTCCTCGCCAACGTCTACCTCGTCTCTTCGCTCGTCCTCGACGGCCCCAACAGCAGCCGCCCCCTTTACCAGCTGATCCTGGTGCTGAACATCATCGCCCAGATTGGCGGCATCTACCTCTTCGCGCTGCCGCTGATTGCCATCAGCAACACGCTGTACAGCGGAGCGAGGCATCTTTTCACTGTACAGAAGCGCC